GGGCCGTTAGGGTTAATTTGCAAGAGGGATATGCACCAGCGAGAGACCCTTGCGCTGTTCACAGCCTTCAAGTACAAATGCCTTTAACAACTGATTTTCCAAGGCCTAACGCTGAATAATTTGGCAAGGGGAACGATTTATCTTTTGACCAAACACTGAGTGGTGCACAGTGTGAACACGAATCAGCTCATCAGCTATTGTAACTCAGTCCAAGGAGACGCCAGTTACCACTGTGGCACAGCACTCAAATAGTGCATTCTTCACTTGAGGCACATGTGCATTTTTGCTTGTCTGTTGGTCAGGGAGTTATTCAGATTTCAGAGCTTAATGACTGGTGATCACTGTGGCCAGCAAGGAATCAAACAGACATCATTCATAGGGAAGCCATTTTTGATCATGTTCCCTGAATCGATCATATTCAATGTAATTTGTTAAGTGGGGGTGATGCCAGACTGTTTTCAGTTGTTAGCCTCACTTTCATTTTTTTAATTCGGCATAAAACATTTAGGTATAATTTATCACAAATTCTAAATTATTCTGTATGGAAACTAGCTTGAATTTGTTCTGAAATTTTATTTTGTTGGTGTTATTTTGTACTCTATGGTCCTCTAAAGGAAAAGTTAACCTCACTTTCAATTCAAGATGGCTGACACGTGAATACAGTCTGTCGCATACTGGTCTTTTCTCAAGTTCATGTACTTGAAAGTAGACTACCATTCAGTGATCACACTGCTCACCTTGACGTGAACGCATTTATGTGCTTGACATTTTTGTGCAATCCTCAGTCAAGTCACAAGTTACTCAAATGAACTGTGACAGCATTTGTCATTTATTTGTTCATCGTGTAACTAACATCTAAAGTGGCTGTGTGGAAGGACTTTTCATGGAGAACGCTACAACACTGTTTCTTTGGTACAGCAGATTGTTACATGTAATCCTGAAGTGGAACTTACCATTTTTGAGTTTTCCATGCACAATTACGTGTACGTGTAGAACTGATCAACTCAACTCATACCATGCCCCTGTCATCTTTTGGATTTCCAGGTTGGCCCAGGCATCGTTCATCTGGTCATCCATCACTGGCTGTTTGGCGATGCCATTCTTATCCATACCATCACCCCTGTTGAGCCCCTCAAGCAGAAGCTGACGCACTGCTGTTGGAGCAAGTCCTTCCCTCGATTTGCTGCCAAGCTGGTTCTCTTTGCCGAGTGCCTACAGGTATTGGCACTTTCTAGCTCAAACTTCAGGGCTGCTGCTCACCTGTTTTTAACTCCTGTAGTGAGCCAGATTAGTATTCCAACAGTGCATGCACAAAATTGTAGGGAATTCAAGAATATCATTATACCTGGGTGAGATCGTCCCTGTCAGCATGGCTCTGCAACAGCTTGCATGCACTAAGCATATTCAAGCTCTTTTGACAGTAGGTGTTTTGTTTTCAAATGACCCTGTCTTTTTAGATGACTGAGTTGGTTATTAGAGGAATGGAGATGATTCTGTAGAGATGCTGTCAGTGCCGAGGCGTTTCAGGCCGTGTCCAAAACGGGCTTCCAGAGCTACGGCTAGGTCTATTGTCTGCACGTCTCCACACATTTCTAATGGAGCAAAGACCTAGACCTAGCTCTAGACAAGAAATTCGGATGCAGCCTCAGATACAGAAGTAGAGGCTCGCATGTTAGGGAGGCTTCATAGGCAGACGGGCATAGGAAAGGTTCTTCAGTTTGTTTGGACTTGTGATGTCATACGTGAAAAGCTGTCCATAGCATCTGCAGATTATCACTTGCTGTGCATCAGAAAGAGATGCATACACGTATATTATGCCTCCTGAACAGCGCCATGCGTAAGGGCGATACCTTCCTCAGAAAAAAAAGAACATTGTAATATGAAAAAGGGAAACACGGATGTGGATTTTCTGAAAATGTATTGATGGTGGGCCTTTTTCATTTTCAGGTGGAACGTGACATGATGGTTTGGAACCACAAGACCTATCTATCCAAGCCTGTTCTGGTCAAGGAGGATTCACTGATTGCCAAACATCGCCGCTGGTACTCCCAGTTCTACTCGGAAAACAGTCCCCGGTACACAGAAAAGAAAACGGAGATGTCCTGGTGAGAGGGTCCAAAGACCATGGAAAAAATCAGTAGGAAAGTTAGAAACTGTAGGTAAAAAAGACAAAAATCACATTTGTACGGGATCTTAACAAGTTTTGCTATAATCAGGCTTTGCCAGGTGTCTGTTCAGATAGTACAGTTGAACTGTTGAATCATTGCTTCTTGATTATGACTCAATCAGAGTTTGTTTACTCTGCAGTTCATATACAAAAGAACAGCCCTTGTGATGAAAAGATGTATGTTTTGAGTCATGTTCACCTTAAACTGGTGGAACTCGTAATAATGTTAAAAAAACAACCAATTGCCCTACTCCCAGCATAATCAGGATTCTTCTAAAATAGCAGGACTATAGTTAAAAATACTTATGATGACAAAGAGAAAATAGACGTGTTGGTTGAGGTTTCATTTTCCAAAAAAGCCTGTCTGGACCTTCTCACAACTCGGACGGAAGGCCAAGATTCAGCTGACCAATATCCAGTCACCAAATATTTTGAAATGCACATTAATTAGAAGTATATCCTTCAAGTTTTATGTCAATGTGACATAGATTTTGGCTGACCTTTGTTGCTCAGGCTTCCGTACATGTCAGCCCGTGCTGTGACCTCATACCAGTGTGAAAACAACATTTTTGGCTGGCTTGTTTCAGAAACGCATGTACAAAGTTTGCACAAGCATTGTCTCTGAACACTACTCATGATTTCCCCCCCCCCACCGAAAAGTTGTTTTGGCTTGAAATCTGACACACTTTTGTTATCAAACTTCTCCCAAAATACAGTCAGGATAAACAGTAAAAAAGGAAGGAAGTAAACAATGCAACAACAAACAGAAAAATGTAACCCAATTTCACGTAACATCCTTTTGCACTTGAAAAACCCATGAAACGACATATTGCTCTGTCATTAGGAAGCAACAAACTTCTTTTTTGGAGAGAAAAATATCCGTGATGAATGAGGAAACAAGAAATTTCATGTTAAACAAGGCTTAAATACATGTAGGACAATTTTTGTCAAATGTCAGTTTTTTTATCACTAATATTTCTGAATTGTGACGGTGTGATAAATGTTAGTGGACCAAAAAAAGGAAATTATTTATTTCTGACCGTGTGTGAATTAGTAAACTCACTATCAGACCTTATACTGTACATGATTAAATGTTTAATTTTTGTAACAAAAGAGTACAAAACTACCCAGTATGTCTGTTGGAGTCAGAAATTTAATATTTTCCAGAATACAGAAGTTAAAAAGAAAAGTTTGCAATTAACATCACGATAATCTATTTTTTTCACAGGAATTATATTCGAGTGGTGAATACCCTTTCAAATTACTGCTTTTATTATTTTTTTTTAACCAAGGAAACTTGATGAAATTGTCTCACTGAACTCAGTGTGTGGATGCTTGTGCCCTCCATCGTTATCTTATTTTTGTAGGTAGTCAACAGTAGGAGTTGCTTTTCCAAATTTTTAAACAGTTTTTCGGCAAACTGTACATAGTGCATTTAGTATTTGCTTGAACCAAGGAAACTTCAAGACTGACATCCACCTTCCAGTGAAAAAAATCCAGGTGAAAATCTTGGTACCGCCTGCCACAAAATGGATTGTGCTAAGTAATTTTGGGGGGTTGGGGTAGGTTAATGAGTAGGCATTAAGAGGGACATTTAGAGAGGTATTGTGTATGAAATTGTAAACAAACACTGTCTAAATGGACCGATCCAGTAAGCCCCGCCCACTGTTCACTTGCTCTTTTCCAGTGCCACACTACAGGATCCGGCCACACACATCCCATGAGCATGCATGCATGTCGGACTTTAGTGCACACGTCGGACATACATTGTAAACCAAGGCTCTGATTGGTCAAAAAACAGTGGAGTGGGACTTGATGGATTGGTCTATTGTGAAAGGGTTTCTGAATGCAGATTTCTTTAAATGGCATGAAAGGTTGATTGTTTTGCTTTAAAACTCAGAGTGCAGATCACCACTCGGAGAACAAAAATGATACATATGGAATGATTTGTTCATTTATAATTAATTACTAGTAGTTACTATATATCTATCCGACGAAGCTTACACGTGATGGATTTCTGTTATAACCACAACAGTTTTGTCAGCATCTTGTTTCAATCCTTCTCCAACAAAATTTCACTAAGCAGCATACATGTATATATCATCTGTATGATTTATTGCTTTAGCTACGTTTGCTGTTTGGTAGTCGGCAGCTGAGCTTATTGAGTGAGTGAAGTAGGTAAAATGTGAAGTTAAATTTTCCATTGAACAAAGATTTAGATGTAGAAGTCTCTCTTGTGCACACTTTCCAATCATGATGTTAGTAATTTAATCACACAAAATTGTCAAGGTGTTGTGCATTAAAAGCCACAAAGTTTCATTTCAAAGTTTAATAAGCTACTTCACTGTATAAAGTCCAATAAAGATACATCAAGATTTATTTGGTTTGGCTTGTTTTTGAATGAAGCATGGACTAACCTTTATTTTCTAATAAATGAAACTATTCAAAAGTAAATTACATGTACAGTAGTAGTGTCTATTTACCTTTGTATTAAAGTTGTGCCTAATTTTGATTGAAAATATTTTATGGAATGTGGAAAATATTTCATGAAATTTGTCAGTAGAGGGTAAATTGCACAATTTAAGATTTATTTTAAACCAATGTCACTTCACCCAGCAGATAATAGTAACTTGTTTCAAGTTAACCGAGTGAAAGCGTTTCTCCAACTGCAAAAGTGACAGGTGCTTTTACTCGCTAGATCTGAAGTTGTCGTAGTAAAAGTTTGTGTATGTGGCATTAAGACTGTTTGGAAGATGTGCCATTGTTCACGGTGGCTGCTTCATAAAAATGCACATCGTGCACATTCTTAATGCTTGCAATAGTATGTTGTAAACATCCTAGGCTATGGAGGCTTTGTGTGGTAGCCATCTTACAGGGCAGTTCTTTTATTCAAAAGGGCATGCCCAAGGGATGTTTCCCTGTGAAACTAGAACTGCCCTGCAAGATGGCAACCATGCAAAGCCTCTGTTAGTTAACAAACTACACCTGGGCTTTGTACCACATCTGTGAGACCTTGAAATTTTGGTCACCAAAGTAGAAAAAGCAGCGTACTACTTGAAAGCGCTTTTCATCACCAATTTTATGTTTGATTGAAACAAGTTTTGGAATGGTGCCCAATGTCATGGTGCTGTTTGATATTGAACCCACGTTGTATTTTGCAGTGAATGTATGTTAAGCAATTTCTTGTGCTTTTGAGATGGTTTCCAAATTGTTTTCCCAATAGAAGCAAATTACTTCTAGATACAACTTTTTCGTTGTGTAGTGTTGATAGCCTGTGTGAGATGATCATCAGTAGGTTTGGGCCTAATATGTCCTTTATCAGCATTTGGGTATTTTTGTTACCATGATATGATTCAAAACATAAAAAGGTTTTTTATACATAACATTGGCAGTCCTGGGTAATAATCATATAAAATGTGTAAATTGTTTAATCATATTTATAAATATAGATAAATTATGAGTAAATGGAACCATGCACATAATTAAAATGTGGAAAGATTGAATCTTGTATTGGTGTGAATTTTGAAATGGTAGATTCACAGATGGGGGGGGGGACATGCATGAGTTAAAACAATAATGGTAAAATGCCCTCACGGCGCGGGGTCTGGAGCCATTTTTGTGTTTTTGACGCTCTGTGGTGCAACTTCAGGCAGTATGACCCCTTATTTTTTCTTCTCTCTTCCTCGTTTGCTTCTTGTATGGGGGGGTGAAAAGGGGGGCGTGCACCCCCAACAGCCCCCCCCTCCGGATCCGCCTCTGAAAATGATGGGTGCAAAAGGTAATGTGTTATTCGCTTTTCGATGTATTATTAAAACGATGGGCGGCAAAAAAATAACATATAAGAAGAAATGTGAAAAAAAGATAAAAGGGTATGCTTGAAAAAGAACACTTTCAATCGAGTACTTCATTCCTGTGAACTTTTACTTATATTTCATAGCTTTCGTCTTTTGCGAAGCATTATGTCCACATGGACATGCGATCATGAATCAATCGACCGAGGGTGAATTCACGTAGGCAGTGTTGAATTGTGGTCGGTAAACATGCAAACGCGTCCGACCGGGAAGAGAAATCGGGAAGGAAAAAATAAGCGAAAAACCATCAGCAAAACCACTAGGGCATTCATGCATTTCTGAGATTCTCCACCAAAATGAATATGAATATTAAGAAACCTTTGAATCTCTTGTTTTAGGCCTTTAAAAATCGCACTCAAAACGTATAACTCCCCCCCCGTGAAAATACCTTTGGACAAATCGCTATTTTAGCGCACTGTTCTAATTTTTTTACTAGGTTTTTTTCACACATTATGCTGGGAAGATTAACCATACTGTGTAAATCAGATTTTAACAAAGTGCAGGAAAAAAACAGAATACAATGGCACAAAACAGTTGTTCCTTTGAGCCAAATCAGCAGCACTCATCATTACGAATACACTGCATAATCTTGACATGGTTCATTCTTTTAGAGGGTCTTGCAGCATTAAGCGTAGGTCCCTAAACATTTAGTTCAGGCCTTTTTTTTATTTTAAGGGCAATGAACGGGGGATTCGCCCCCCATTTCCACCCTCGGATCAGCTTAATGAATAATAACAACAGAATCCTATCTTACAGCGCAAAAATTTGTGTGTGAAGCGTACGGAAGAGTATATGGGCCACTTACAAAACATTTTTTCGAGATACTATCTCGCCGCGGCGAGTTACTACATTGCCACGGCGAGTTCCTATCTCGCCGTGTCGAGTCTATCTCGTCGTGGCGAGTTGTTATCTCGTGCTTCAATCATGTTTTTGAAAAAGTGAAGCCGCGGCGAGTTAGTTAAAACTACCTCAACTCGCTGCATATTAAGACTCAGTCTAGATACCAGACCCATTTATTCTGATCAAGAGCCCTGTATTATACCCAGCAGGAAATGAGTCCGAGGGGTACCCCCCCCAACATGTCCAATCCCTATACACATTCCAGACTCTTGTTACTTAACACCCCCCCCCAAGATGTCTGAAAAGAATTCCCCAGATTCCTGCGAGACAATGACCAACACAAAAGGGGGGGTTCTCTCCGTCTCATACCTTGCTGCATATGCCTGTATCACCCAACGTCCACGTGACCAACACTCCCCAGACTTCCGGGAATAGTCGAACTATTCCGAACTTACCTTGTCCGTATTAAATTCGGTTAAACGTTAACACTTTTTCACAAAATGCTCCTCAAAATTGTAAAAATTGTTACAAAGATTAAAATAAATAAAATTGGTAGCCAAACGAGTAAAGGGAGAAGATAAAGACCATTCGGATTGTATCGGTAATATTCGGGTATTTCCGGCCGCGTCTGCACCAAGAATTTTGTGAACTGTCCGGGTTATATCGGTCGGAGTACTCCCCAGTTACGAAGCAGAACTAGGGTCGAAAATATTGGAACATGTTTTGAGAAATGGAAAGCATTTCTTTAATTGAACGTGTTTTAAGCGAATGTTATTAGTCCAAAAAAAGACCGAAACGAAGTTATAAAGTCCCAACTTTTTCCAGATTTTGCACAGAATAGACTGAACATATTTTGGAAATGGGAACACTTTTTCAGCGTAAAGCAGCTAATCGGTGCACGTATTTTACACAAAATCTCATGCCATCCTAAATGAGAGAGCATCCAAATTAACATAAATCCAAATTAATAAGCAGCCACGAATAAAAGCAACTTGTGAAAACTTTGTTAAAACAATCTTGGAAAAATATGCTTCACTTTTTCAAAAAATATACTTGAAGCACTCTGAGGCTTTTGCAGAATACCGTCTACAAGATGGAATACTTTTAATACGCGGCTTCGGATGCTTTCTCAATTCGGTTGCTCTTTCAGATCAGATAATTTCTCAATTCGGATGATTTCTTAATTCGGATAAAGTAAGATTTCCGTAGAATACATAAGCTGTTACGCTGTAAAAAAATGTATAAATTTCGATAAAAATGTTTACATTGTAAATTTTTGTTCTATCTATTAAAGAATTTTGAACTTTAAAAATTATTTCAATCCTACAGATTACGTTGCGTATAAAAATACGCATTCACTCTTTATTAACAATTCACTCGATTCGGAATCTTAAAAAAGAAATGAGATCCTTAAGAAAAAGGGTCCTTATGAAAAATATAGGCTTAACTTCTAAAATACGATCTTTTTAAAAATAACATCCGCTTAAAACACATTGCATTTAAAATTAAAATGCAATCAAGTTAACAAAACATGTTCCAATTTTCTACCCTAATTCTGCTTTGTAGTTGATAGTATGGAATTCCATATCTGCCGTCGCCCGTCGTGCGTCGCATTTTGCTTTGTCTTGTGTCCCAATTCTACCATTTACCAATTCCAAACATGCCATTTTCCGTCGCCCGTCGTGCGTCGCCCGTCGTCCGTGGTTTTTTTGGTTGTTTTTTGGGTTTTTTTGTCACGATTGCGCAGTGGTATTTATAACTTTCACCCTTGATCTTAGTTAACTTAGTTACTATAGACGTAACTTTACTCGTTAACGGCCTGACTTTAGGTCTATAGCCTATGTAATATTTCTGTCTGTCTCTGCACGATATCCCACAGAACAGAATGTAAATAATAAGCTATTTACAATGTTTGATTCCCTTAATAGTTTTCATAAGAGACGAACTGATTCAACATTATTTCGAGGGCGGGTTTACCTGAATACTCCAAATTAGACATGACTTGAGTTGCAGGTAGGCTCATAGAGGTCTTTTAAACCGTAACGTTACTTGTTATGCCGGACAACCTGTTCTCATTGGTCTATCCACCATGGCATACACACCCACAAAAACCAACACGTCACATTTTCTGAAACTTAAACCAAGTGGTAATTACCCCCTAACAATACATTTAATAAACAGTTTGTTATCCACAGCACGTCTAGTATTTCTGTATTTCAAGGTGAAATTGAGAGGACAAAATGGAATATCTGTATCGGTTGGCAGATTTCTTTATAAAATTTGATGAAAACAGGTCGGCACATTTTTACAATATGCAAATTAGAATTAGACTGTGCATAAGTTGGCCTGAACATTTTTGCTGAAAATGTTTTTCCCAAAAAACAGTTGGTTTAATTCTCAGAAAGGCGACATTTTCTTGTCAAGGGACATGGGTAGTCTAACATTATTGGCATTAATTATGGGACTAGTATTGCAGGTGGGATTTGTACTTGCCTTATTGGAAAAAGATCCTTAGAAGTGAATGGAATCATCACACTGTCATTTGTAAAACCCATGCTTTTGCAGTCCTATGCAACCCATTTGATGGGCGATGCACGACGGGCGACGGGCGACGCACGACTGGCGACAGACGACGCACGACGGAAAATGGCATGTTTGGAACTGGTAAATGGCAGCATTGGGACACAACAAAAAGCAAAATGCGACGCACGACGGGCAACGGCAGATATCAGAATTCCATAGGATAGCGAACTCCGACCGGTATGCCACGGACAGTTCAGACGCGGCCGGAAATGCCCGAATATTAACGATACCATCCGAATGGTCTTTTTCCTCTCCCCATTCATTTGGCTACCAATTTTAATCCTTGTAACAGTTTTTACAGTTTTGAGGAGCATTTAATAAAGAAACAGTGTTGACGTTAAACTGAATTTAATATGGACAGTGTAAGTTCAGAAGGGTTCAACTATTCGCGGAAATCTGCGGGAGTGTTGGCCACGTGGACACGGGTGATACAGGACCCTTGATAAGAAGAGTAGTCGGAATCATTGAGTCTGGTATTCAGATTGAGTCTTAATATGCAGCGAGTTGAAGTAGTTTTAGCTTACTCGCCGCGGCGAGATAGTAACTCGCCGCGGCGAGATAGTAACTCGCCGCGGCGAGATAGTATATCGAAAAAAAAAATTCGTAGAGGCCCTTATACGCTTCCGTACGTCCGCAATTAATCAGGTCAGTATTTAGCATCTTAGTCCCAAACTACACTGATCTTGACCTATCATAGACCCTGTATGGCGGTTTAACTGTACACGTACATGTACCTCTATGTTGCAGGTACATGTTCCATTTATGTACATCCGCTTTTGCAAAAAGTTGTATGCAGACATTTTGCAGGTCTACGACGTGTTTCCCTTGCTCGGTATGCAATCAATATAGGCATTTGTTTCATATCTGTACTGTGGCATCCGTTTCGCATAACGGCCCTGCAAGTTTGTCTCACGGTACCAAGACATCCTTCTATCATGTCTACGCGGCGCGTTGTTTCAGCGCACGGCCTCTATCTGGACATGACAGTGCAGCGATTCACCGAAGGGGGCGCCCTGTACACAAGGCCGTTTCTACGTGCCGTACGGTCGGTCGCACTCCCCCTTAAAACAGCCCCATCGAAAGGACCGAAAAGAAAGGAAAACCTGAAAATTAACGCAGGGGAAGCTAGAACTTTAAATTGCACATAAAATTCCGGCAGAATTGTTGAAAAGAAGGCCAAAATGCGAAAATACGTGCAAGTAAAAAAAAACAAAACAAAAAAAAACAACGTCGCCAGTATTGAAGACTTTGAACCTGCCTTGCTGCTCCATAAAACCCCTGTTGAACGTTCAGGTAAGGCGGCCCCCTTTGATGGGGGAGGGATGCCCCTGACCCCCTCCCCGTTTTTTTTGGGGGGGGGAACGACAGAAAGGTGGTATTTTTTACTAGCCCTGTACCACTTCCTTACTTTCATAACTCCTCACTGTTAACCAGTTAGCCACCAGTTATGTACATAGTTTCATATAAATCAGCCCTATGCGGGTTTGCTAAAAACTGCGAGAGCTTTCATTTTGAGAGACTTTTTTTTGGGGGGGTATTATTGCCATGCATAATGCGCTAACCTCACGCTGAGTCGACTGTGTGTCTCATATTGTGTATGGGACTTCTCTTTCCCCCAAACACTGTTAGAATGAATGGACAAATCATTCCCCAAATGGAGCATTGACTATAGCCCGCAATGTTTAGAGTTTTTCTGTCAGTGGTCTCTGGTCACTCATCTTTGCCGAATGAAGTTGGAAATCATTTTAGTGTTGCTAGTTGCGAAACAATCAGTCAACTCGTATCAAGAATGTCACGACGCAGATGGAAGGAAGGGGGGGCGAAGTGGGGAGTATCGGTACTACACTAGCGCGCCTGCGCGTAGCCTACATCCAGTCTAGTCGCTGATTACGTTTTAATTTTCCCAATTAAAAATATTTAATTAAATAGGCCATACGTCCCCTTGCTTTTTTAATCAGCCCAGAATCTGCCTTGAGCGGAAGCACCCTCCATCAGTTGAAGAAGAGCCATGTTGGTGGGGAGTGTATCATTTTTATTGGTAGTTACGCGACTGTAACGCACGCATTTCAAAGTGGTCGTTTGTGAACTAGCGAAGTCCAGTCCCTACCAAAGGAACCACTGTTGCTAGGAATATTGAGCCCTCTCTTAGTCGCGTTGGGGGTTCATATACCTGTATTTTCCTACCCCTTCTTTCCTCAAAAATAAAAAAAGTACATGCGCTTTTTGGTTCAAAGCAATAAAAAAGTGCAAAGATGGGACTCTATATACGTCATTTTGGTTCTCATAGTCACCATAGGAAATAGTGGGCTCAGTGTCGTGAGACCGCGGAAAAGCCGTGACACCAGTCAGTATCCCTTATCTGCCGGTGTCAGTGAGTAACATCACCAGTGCAAGATTGACAGTGATGTGGTGGTGAACTGTCAGCGAGCTTCGGCAATTTTTCGAATTCCAACTTGTCTTCATTTCAACTTTGTATTTATAATATTCAAAACGTTAGCTGTTGAAACCGAATACTTTGAAAGTTTATCATCACAGCACACAGTGAAGACTTTCGGAAGATCTTGCGATGACGCGGAAGTTTGATGATTAAAATACGGAAGCGTACGGAAGAGTGGAGGTGTATAAAGGCCGCTTGCAAAAATTTTTTAAAAATTGTAAAGTTACTATCTCGGCGCGGCGAGATAGTACTGGAAAAAAATTTGCAAGTGGCCCTTATACACTTCCGTACTTCCGCATACACTTCCGCATTTCCTGAAGCTAAAAACCCGTCAATTGGACGGGTTTCCCATATAGTACTAACGCTATACCAATCACCAACGTCTGGGAACCAATTATTTGCATAATCGCAAAGAAAACGAGTTGGCATGGTCGGGCGCCATGTGATTTCATCCTAAATTCCCGCGTACGGTCGTTACGTGGCCTGTAGGTCGTTGCTGTCGTAGATACCGAATCAAAATATTGTCAACATTGCGTACGTGACTTCAACAACGTGTCGCTGTCCTGTACTTAACTTCCGCGGTTGACGTGTTCTCCTAAGTAGCACAGTAGATATTTCATCGTTGCCCTCTGTGTGAAACCACGCTGAATCAAATACTCCTGTTCCACTGTACTAGTTCCACTGAATTCAGGAGGCCTACGTGCGCTGGCTTTACCAGTGGAGATCGGATGTACCCAGAAGTTGTGGGCGTTCAACAGTGTTCATGCAGGCGTAGCGCATTCGCCTCTTGCCCTTAATGGGCATGTGTTATTTTCTGTATGGCTGGGTCTCCGGCAGATGAGTTGAAATGTCTGGACAAAGAAGTCAGCAAACTGTGCGCTTTAGACCTTTGCCAGGAGATGAAAAATCTCAAGCTATGCGCCGGCTGTAAGGAAGCGTGGTATTGCAGTAAAGACCACCAGAAACAACACTGGAGAGTTCACAAGAAGTTGTGTAAAACCAAAATCAGCCGGGCAAAAGTGCAACAGAACTCGGATGTCAGGACATGTACGCATGCGGAGGGTGATGACATCTTGCATGTAGGTAGCTACACGAAGAACTCACATTCACAATCAAGTAGCCTTGAGTCGGAGGTTGAATGTACCAACCCAAAAGTCCAAGAAGACATTGCGCAGTTCTCGGCAAACATTCGAAGAAAGCAGTCATACACCCTTACTCCCTGTTACAACGAAGAGGGTTCTACAAATCGGGATTTGGAGCGTGAGAAAGACGCGGACCAGTTGACAGAGATTCATTCCAAAGACACGAGACAGAAACGAGGAAACATGCCGCCCAACCAGCCTACTGGGGTAATTGCTTCTCTGCCTGCTAAAAAGACCATGGACTTAGTGATGTATGTTGTTGAGCATATGCAAAAGTTTGGTATTTGTGTTGTGGATAAATTCCTCAAACAGGAGAATGGCGAAGCCATATTAGAAGAAGTAAAAGCATTACGATCGAGCAGTGCATTCAGTGACGGCCAGTTGGTGACAAGCCGAGATGCAAACTCAACATCCTCCAAAGACATTCGTGGAGACATGATCACTTGGACGGATGGCAGTCACCAAGAAACAAGAAACATTGGCTTCCTCATTTCTAAAATTGACTCGGTCATCCAACAGTGCAAGGAACATCTGGAGGGGTTCAGAAACATCAATGGACGGACAGAGGTAAGATGCTGTGTCTGAATCAAGCAGCTGTGGCTACTGCAACTGGCAAACTTGTGCCTTGTTTAGCCACAGCCATCATTTCCGGACATCTACAGGTACAGGTAGCTAGCTGTTTCTTAAGGCCTATGTCAGGCGTGATTGATTGACCTTCACGATCAGTGCATCTTGCTGAACAATCTATCAATCTTTCTGTGGAAAGTTTCTGTATTGGACCATTCACAATAATTGAGTGTCACAAACACCATCAAGTTGACCCTCCTTATTGAACCTGCTCCCCAAGGTCAGTGGAAGTACTGTATCTCCTTTCCTCACTCAAAAACCACTAAGAGCAACAATTACCCCTTGTAAAACTTGATGTTTGTGACACTCAAGTATTTTGAGGGTCCAGCGTGGAATTCTTCCCCCTTCCACTATCACCATCTTCTCTATGTGATTCATGGTTGTGGAAGATTGGTGTTTGTTTGTTTTTTAAAAAGAAAGTAAAGTCTGAGATTTATCCTACAGGCTCTCAGGGTTGACTGATAATGCAGCGATCGGCCATTGCTTTTGTGAGCTAGCCATGCCCCTTGGACAACCCAACCCAATGGAATTTTGTACATGTACAAACACATGCTGTACATGTACATGTGTACGTTGAGTCTTGTTTGTCTCAGATTTTTTGTGTGTCCTGTGTCCATTATCATGTACATGTATTTGGACAGTATTTCACAAGCTGCATCGTCAAATAGTACTATTATAGGTCAGTTGTGCAACTGTTTACCTCCCTTTAACATTCTAACTGCATCATGGGATTTGAAGGAATACAAGTCACGCATTATCTTTGTGAACCTTACAGGGAAGTGAACCAGTCAAAAATTCAATTTATAATTTTCTTCAGAATATTTTGTTGAGTACCGTACCAGTAACTTCTCATTAAGGAAGAGATGGATGCATAGTACACAAGGCACATTTTCAAAATAACAAATTCCGACAGTTTGGAAGATTAAACAAAATCACTCTTAACTGTAAATGTCTTTTTGGAAGGGCACCAGTTACTTTCCGCTCAGAGCGGGAATAAGAGAGGGCATGATGGGACCTCACCATGTATATGTATGGTAGGAGTGTGCAGATGCATAAGTGTTTAGACTGAGGTGTAGTGAACAACTAGCCTGTCTCTTCCCTGCCGATGAGTCTTTAACTTGAGGCAGATACATATAGGCTGAAAAGTGAACGTGATTGGCCAGTGAGGGATGAATAAGCTTCAAGTCCTAGCTCTGGTTGGATAATGAAGGATGAATGAGCTTCAAGTTCTGACTCTGGTTGGTCAGTGAGGGATCATGACTCTGATTGGCCAATGAGGGATGACTGGGACCTCTTCAAGTTCTGACTGTGATTGGCCAATGAGGGATAAATGAGCTTCAAGTCCTGACTCTGATTGGCCAGTGGGTGATGAATAAGCTTCAAGTCCTGACACTGATTGGCCAGTAAGGGATGAATGAGCTTCAAGTTCTGACTGTGATTGGCCAGTGGGTGATGAATGAGCTTCAAGTCCTGACACTGATTGGCCAGTGGGTGATAAATGAGCTTCAAGTCCTGACACTGATTGGCCAGTAAGGGATGAATGAGCTTCAAGTTATGACTGTGATTGGCCAATGAGGGATAAATGAGCTTCAAGTTCTGACTCTGGTTGGCCAGTTAATGATAATGGCTCTGATTGGCCAATGAGGGATGAATGAGACCTCTTCAAGTTCTGACTGTGATTGGCCAATAAGGGATAAATGAGCTTCAAGTTCTGACTCTGGTTGGCCAGTTAATGATCATGACTCTGATTGGCCAATGAGGGATGAATGAGACGTCTTCAAATCCTGACTGTGATTGGCCAATGAATGATGAATGAGCTTCAAGTTCTAACTCTGGTTGGCCAGTTAATGATAATGGCTCTGATTGGCCAATGAGGGATGATTGAAACCTCTTCAAGTTCTGACTGTGATTGGCCAATAAGGGATAAATGAGCTTCAAGTTCTGACTCTGATTGGCCAATACTGCGTGTTCATGAAGGTCATTCAGATTCACCATCTTAATCAAAGACTGTTGCTTGGCTTAAAAATTATATTTTTATGAATAATGTATTCCAAATCTCTACTCCTTCATTGTGTGAAAAGAGAATGGCTCGATTTCAAGTACCGGTACATGTACATGCACTGTGTTGCAGGTCTTCTTTCATAGCTTAAATAAACTGTTTATCGTCCAGTTCTGTGATGTACATAAGTGTACAACTCTTTAAATAGTGCCTAAATCAGTCGTAAACGCGACCAAATTTTTGTCAATGCGATCATATTTTCACCATACAGTTGCCTTTCGCGACTTAAGGTACATGTATGTAGCTTAGAAACTACAGGGTTCTCCCACGTACAAACTTGCGTATCGGGCCCGATACGCAATTATTTCTGCCCGATACGCAAAAAACGGGCCGATACCCATTTTTTCATCCCCGATACGCACAATACAATTATGTGAGTATGGCTCAGAGTTATCTTACATAATGCTGATTGAATGTCCGGAAAATCTAGATAAAAAACAGTTTAGTCCTGCATTTTTCCCATGTACTGTACATGTACATGCATTGTGCACCATGCGTCGGCGGCCACACTGTACTGCACACCTTACATACAGTACATGTACATTGGCACTGAACGTTCCTCGTGGCCGGTGTTGCATGAAATCTGAACTTCCGTCATGGGCGTCGTACATGCACCCGTGCACAAGTGTGTTTTCTCTGTGCCATGTGCCAAATACGCTACTGAGGCTGCATTTACGTAGGTTACAATATTATTACTACAATATTATACTACACCATTCGCAGAACTTACAACATTGATCCCACACACGGTCTTTTTTTCATGGCGGCAGCCGTAGCCCTGTGTAAGAGTATTAATGGCATCAACGACGGGGACGATATTTCTCGTTGCCATATCACCGCGTTTCGTCTGGCGCACAATGGCAGACACTCAATTTGATTGAGTGTCTGCTCTTTTTTAAGCCAATAACTTCAGCAGTCCGCGCTGAGGGAAACCCAAACGAAGCAGCCACCTGCAGCGGGTATTCTTTCTTGCCAATATACAAGAAAAGCCTTGTTTATTTTATATAAAGACCAAATCGTTTCATATTTTTATGACATTTGTTTTTTTTAAAGTTCAGCCACAGATGCTGAACCCCTTTGCGAGAACCCTGATTTCGTGGATTGACCTCATTGGCATTCGCACATATGCGCATGTTGTGTGGTGTACGTGTGCCGGGCCAGGTCATGAGTCAACGGCATGGATGGATGATGTACATGTACATTAACCAAGGCATTTATATTACCTTTGTATCAGTACGTACATGTACGTTCAGGAATATTCAGCGCACTAAAGTTTCATAAAAGTGCTGGCACCTAGATTTTTCCCCATTAGCCCTAACCCCCANTCACGCTGAGGGAAACCCAAACGAAGCAGCCACCTGTAGTGGGTATTCTTTCTTGCCAATATACAAGAAAAGCCTTTTTGTTTATTTTATATAAAGACCACATTGTTTCATTTTTATGACATTTGTTTCTTTTAAGCTAATATTTTTTACTTACAACTGAATGGAGCTCATGGTTTCAGGTCTGATCAGCAAACGGAAAGGTTGAAGCATGTATTAAAATTAAAACTGAATAAACGGGTGTTTATATCGTTGATTAAACAGCACTACATGTTGTTGCATGTCTGAAACTTGAAATGACTCCTTTTGTCATTGTTTGTGCCTACAGGCCTAATTAGTAGTCCAGAAAGGAAAACTTGTCGTTTGTTAAAATACTAATATCCAAAATTTAAAAAAAATATTGAATTTGTTGTGTTTTTTCCTGAGAAAAGGTACTTGAAAAACCCAGGAAATGCTCTAAAATGCTCTAAGTCCCAAACTTTTCGGGGCCCTTAGGTGGGGTCCGAACCCCACGCCATGGCTTTGCAAAATGTTGGTAAACCATAATGGAAATCCCCCACAAGTTTTGAAAAATCGTGGGGAGAACCTTGACCTACATACAAACTGTACTTGAACAATTTTGAGTATGCTTAAAAATAAAAAAGCAACGATTTTGTACTCAAAATTCATTCGGGAAAGGTAGAAATGGCAGCGCAAGTCGCATCATGAATTTGAAGCTTACCATGTGCACTCTACATGTACATGTGTCGCGATCACATGCACACGTTCCCAATCTAAACATGTACGTTGTTGATGTCACTGTATACGGACACCAGGGCTGTTTTATAAACCATGGCTCGGGCTCCATTGTTTTTCTGCAGTGAAGCCTGAAACAGAGCTCATTCTGGAATTAAAGGGTGTCACTGTGATTTAGAGTGTCGGAAATAGCGCGATTCATGCAGCAGGGTGTCCAGCAACACGCTGAAACTACAGACGTCATAACGGCTGTGGCTGAAGTTCAGCCACAGATGCTGAACCCCTTTGCGAGAACCCTGATTTCGTGGATTGACCTCATTGGCATTCGCACATATGCGCACGTTGTGTGGTGTACGTGTGCCGGGCCAGGTCATGAGTCAACGGCATGGATGGATGATGTACATGTACATTAACCAAGGCATTTATATTACCTTTGTATCAGTACGTACATGTACGTTCATGAATATTCAGTGCACTAAAGTTTCATAAAAGTGCTGGCACCTAGATTTTTCCCCATTAGCCCTAACCCCCCNAAGGGTTGCTGGCCCTAACCTTCCCGATTCACACAAAGTTAAACACCCATGCACAGAGGCTGTTGGACTTTGTTTTTCTGAGGTACATGTACATTGTATGCCAAACCCAATGCAACAGCCAGCTGTTATGGGCCTACCAGACCTACATTTATCCCCACAGAATTAAGCACTTTACTACTGTTTAAGTCTGTGAGGTTGGGGAAGGTTACGGTTAGAAGCCAATGGCTACCAAAAATTTTTTCTATTTAAAGGGTTGGACACATAAAGTAGTGCGTGTCAAAATAGCGTACA